GCAGTCCCCATTCCCCGGCAGAGCCACACCCCCACAACAGTCGTCACCCCCACGTCACACCTCATCTGTCTCACTCTGACACCTGCAGTCCCCATCCCCCTGCAGAGCCACACCTCCACAACAGCCGTCACCCCCACGTCACACCTCGTCTGTCTCACTCTGACACCTGCAGTCCCCATCCCCACCCAGAGCCACACCCCCACAACAGCCGTCACCGTCACGTCACACCTTGTCTGTCTCATTCTTTTTTTAAAAATTTTATTAATACATTTTATTTAACCCAATGTCATATTATGAACATGCAACCAATATGAAAAAATTGAGATGTTTTACATTCTTTTTTCCATGAGTCTTCAACATCCAGTGTGCATTGTCCACTTACAGCAGATCTCAATCTACACTAGCCACATTTCAAGATTTCAGTAGCCACTGGTGGCTAAAGGCTACTGGACTGGACAGCACATGTCTAAAGTCTAACTCTCTCTCCAGCATAATCATCACCTCAAAATATACAAAGTACATAAAAGGTTATCCTAAACTAAGTAATGCTCTGTTAAAATGGCACATGAAACAATAAATGTTAAAGTATTTGGACCTTTTCTAATTACTAAATGAGAAATTTAACTGTTACATAGGAATGGCTTTGCAAATCTTTTTGACATTTTTACAAACGCCTTGAAAACCATGTTGTTCTTTCCATTATCTCGTTAAGATAATGAAACATCTTAGTACTAGGTTTTCTTTTTCCACATCTGACTTGTTCATTCTGTCATTCAATAACTATTTATCTGCTAACTATGTGCAAAACTATGCTACGCAACACTATGTGATGCAGTGGGGGATGTAAAGTACACACCATCTCCAATTTCACGAAGTTTCCAAACTAGTAAGAGAGGGAGTGAAAATGTGAAGAATATGTGAAAATATATCTCTATTTTATTTCACTGTATCACTCTGTGTCAATTACTTGTCTACATACCAGTCCTTCCCCAATTCTTTAACAGTGAAGAGAAGGACTTTATCATCTTCCCAAGGCCTAACAGAACACCTGAATAAACATTTATGGAGTTCAGGATAATGAAAAATTATGTATTATTTTCTAGAACAGAGGTCCCTACAAAGTGCACAAAGAAATATTTTATCTTCCCTATGCTACACTATAAGGCAGAGGAGTTACCAAAGGCAGGCCTTGAAAGATTTGATAAAGGGTGGTGAGAAGTTTGAAGAAAATGATAAATTTTTACAGATGAAAAAGTATGGGAACAGAAGAGTACATCACATATGATAGGTACTCCCTGCATGTTTGCTTATTAAGTGCACAAGTGACTAAAGGGAAGAGCATAAATGACTAAGAATATCATTTACAAAGCTAGAAATGGGGGATTTGAGACACGAAGGGGTGGTGATGCTACATAAGCTACGTGGGAAAAAGTGACATCTTGAGTAGGCAGCTGCAATTCTTAACATTTTAAAGCAAATTAACAGCAGTAACTAGCCTCCCTGCCTTGGAAGGTACAGTTCTATATCCTATTTTCTTACCTTTGGGATAATGCCTATGGTGTCCACTTAACAACTTTAATGATTCCATAATCTGACATTAACTTGAACAATTTCATTCAAGCATAGTTATAGGCAGGATGAGAAAAAAGAAATCTAGCAAAATTACATGCTTTTATTTTATCATCATGCATATAAAGGAAGACACATATGCCAATGGTACACTTCCAAAGTGTCAGAGCAAATTCACAGTATTTATGCAATTTAGGAACAAAGACACATCATTTACTAAGTTGTTACCAGGGCAAATTACCAAGTAAGACAATCAAACCACACTCATTTTGTTGCTTATTTTTCCACAAAGACAACAATTTGAGAAGCCTAACAAAGACCGAGTTATTCAAACTATAGTTCTAAGAATATAGTTTAACAGAAAGAACAAGCTGAAAACTGTTACGAATATTCATGTCTCTATACTGTAAAAACTGTTATTCTTCTAAATTTTACCAACTGAAAGCAAAAGAAAGCTTGTATTGCTCAATTTTTCCAATAAGCAGAAACAGAAAATAAGATTTTACTAAATACTGGTAATAATAAATAAGATCACAGTATTAATCTTCCACATAAATTGGGTTACAGGTGTTCTCAAAGTCTGTTGTGATGGTCAGAGGTGGCATGGAGTGAGTCTGGGCACCCTGAGCCGTGAGCAGGGGCAGGAAGAATGCCCCGTGATGCCCAAGGCTTTGAAGTGTAAGACAGCACTCTGCTGCCTACCCTCCCCAGCCTGTGTGCACTGGGAATGCTCACAGGATCCCTTCCCCTGCAGGCACAGGAGGTTGGAGGGTTCAGAG